AGATGCTTTCTCCTGTTCATCTACTGGATTCCTAAAGTGGGCTACTACTGAGCTGCCTGAATACTTGTCTCCTCCAGCAGAGGAGCTGGTGCAGGTATAGGAGTAAGCAGCAAATAAGAGGAATCACTGTATGTTTAACAAAATTTCAGTTAAAAAAAAATGGGAAAGAAAATAAGAGACCTTGAGCATGAAAAGGATGATATTCTTTTGGAAGAACTAAGTCCTGTAATAAAGCATTTATTTGTTTTACCCCATCAACATGCTTAGAAAGGCTTTCAAGTGCAATTTTCTCTCTTTTTTTTTTTTTTTTTTTTTAAGTATTTATTCTAAAGAGAGATCCCATACATCTCATTGTCTTCCCACAGAGCCCTGCTTTTAAAGAGGCTCTGCCTTCAAACCTTTTTCCAGTGCAGCACAGAAAGTTTAAGCCAGACCATCTCGGAACTAAAATGGCTTAAAATGTCAGGTGTAGCTGTATCATCTACTTTTGGTTTATGCCCACTGTCCTTGGAACAATGTCTCTGAAAAGTTTATGACAGTGGTCAAGGGAGAGATGTTTGATGTGCATGTGAAGCAAACTGAAGATGTTCTTGTAATGGATTAATCTGGAGGTGGTACATGACACACTTTAGAGTACTGATCCCTGTTTTGTCTACAGGATACAGAACAATTTGGAGATCACACTTTCAGTCTGAACTCAAGTCAGTTTGATGATCAGAAGAGATTTTGAAATAGCAGAATGTTGTAAATGCTTTTCCAGTAACCATTTTGAGTGTTACACTAATGTGCTCTTCAAAATGGGGTAAATGTTTCCTAATTAATGCAGGAGTGAGAAATACTACAGTTCTTGTCATGGGGAAAGGGCAGTGAAACAGAAACTTTTATTTTTTAATAAATCTTTATGACAGCACCATGCCTGCTTGTTTTGGCTGCTATACCAGAGAGGTCAAAATAACAAGGACTTCCCAGATCTATGCCTGTGGAGAAGGACCTCTGAAGAAACCAAGCCTTTTCAGTGGTGAACTGCACTCATCAGTCTCCAGATAAATGTGGGTGATTCATTCAGTGATCCTCTGGTGGCATCATTACTTGTGCTGTGATGCTGAAATGATTTGTGGTTGGCCATCACAGAAGGATTATGAAAGGAAGACTATCATAAGAAGTTTGGGAGTCTGTACCCCTTTTGAGACAGTGAGGGTTGCAGCTGATGTGGAGTTTTAACAGTAGCAAAGATTTTATACTCTCGGGAGAATCTGAGCTTGTAGTCCAAATTAGAGTTGCAAAACACTGCTTTGAAGTCAGTAAACTTGCATTTTTAGACAAAAGAGGCTCTGCATTTGCTCAAGAGCTTGTGACTCAATTGTTGAGCTTGAAGACTTTGGTAGATTAGCAGCAACCCCTCTCCTTGCAGTGAGAAGTGATGTGATATACAGTAAAAAAGAAAAAGAAAGAAAGATTGTACGCATCTTTGGAAGTGTGTAATTTCTATCCTTGAATATGAAAGAAGCAAGAGAATGGAGATAATGCTTTCTTGTCAGAGTAGGTGAAGTACAGATGATGCACATGGTAACTTCAGCAGCTGGGACTGTGGTTTTGGCTGCTGTCAGCAGAGGCAGCTGCCCAGCTGATGCTGCGTGGGAGGATTGCAGCAATGCATTTTCTTCTGCAAGGGAGAACAGAGTCTAAAGATGTTCTGGTTCCAGCTGGGACAGAGTTAACTTTCTTCCCAGCAGCTAGTGTGAGGCTGTGTTTGGGTTTGTGCTGAGGAGAAGCTGATCACACACTGATGGGCAGAGCTGCTGCCAGGACAGTCAAGGACTTTCCAGCTTCTCTGCTGTGCCCGTGTCTGCAGGGGCAGGAGAAGCTGGGAGGGAGCACAGCCCCAGTTACCAGCCCAGGATTACACTTTAGGTTTAGGATTGAGACCCAAATTGGCCAATGGTCTATTCTACACCATGTAAGTCATGCCCAGTATATAGATGAGGGTCTGTCTGGAAGTTGTCCTCCCTCTCCCCAGTCTCACACTCTCTGTCATCTCTCGGTCTCTCAGACACTCGGGCTCTTATCTTTGTTCTGGGTTTGCAGTTTCAGGACTCTCCCTGCTCTGGGATTGTTAGCCCGGAACAAACTGAGCCTTGGTCATTGGGTGGCGAACAGTTTACTGTGTGTTGCTCATTTGCATATTTGTTTAAAGCAGTGTTTAAATACATTCAACAATAGTGAGCTGATGAATCAGTCTTGACATACAAAGGCCCTTTCTAGGCAACAGGCAAAAGGCTTAATGAATGCAGAGTGGGAAACCGATCCAATGATTTTAATCCCAGCAGAAACACATCCCTCGTTGGAGCTAGTGGGGATAGAGCCATGATGTTGGTGAGAGGTTTTTCTGTTGGTAGTGGAGAGCCCACATGGGTACATGGTGCACATAACAGTTCTGCCTTAACTTGTGGTTGTTTTTTTTTGAATGCTGCTCATGTGACCCAACGTCAGTTGTTAAGGATTGTTGAGCCCTTCCAAAGGGCTGCTTGAACACTGCACGCATGATACTGCCAGGAGATGCTGAAACTCAGAACACTGTGTATCAAAGCAGAGAAATGTTAGGACCGATATAATACTTTCTCACTCTGCAGATACCATGACATTTCATACTGGTTATCTTTCCAAAGTTGCAGACTATAGAGGACTTTTAGCTAAAGAATAGCCATCATTGTGTTGTAGGTAGGATTGCTCCTTTAAGACCACAATAACCTCTTTCCTTACCTCTTATCTGTAAAGGTTCTTGTTTAGTAGCTGTTAGAGATGAGGATTTCATACCAGCATTTGTTATTTTTGCATTTCTTAAAACCGGGGTTGGTTTCAAATCTTAATCTGATTTAGGTAATTTTTGAAAGGTTCATTTCATGCCGTGAATTCTGAACTACGTATTTTCATACAATAAGAACATGACAAGACAAAACTACTCGTAAGGATAAATTTGATATTTTTTACTGAAGTGGCCTTTGTACGCTAATTATTGACGTAGAACCGCTACTGCATCCTTAAGAAAATCTTTTATAGTTGCAAAGAGTCAACACCATATTGACAACGGCTTGAAAAGAATTGAGGTAAATGTGACTGGCATCATAAGAGGTGATTAAACTTTACTCATTCATAGTCAGGGATACAAAAATATGCAATATGCAGGTGTTATCTCAGTGGGCGCTCGTGGTCAAAATAGAGTACTCCTACACAAATGAAATATAGGTGATCGGATTCTTTGTTGGCAAAAATAGTCATGGTAGGATGAATAGCCATTTCTCTAGTAGCTATCAAGCCTCTGACCCTTATGTATGTGGAGGTTCACATCTTCCTTATGGGCACTGTTTTTACTCAGGTGAGACTTTAAAACAATCCATATCCAGAATTAATTTCTTGTTTCTTTCAGGCATCACTTTTTAGATCGAGATTTTGTTTCAGGTCTCATATAGTTTGACAGTCTGGAAAAGAACATGAAAGAGCTTTTGTGAAGCCTTGACATTACCATAAAAGCTGACTTGTATTTTTTGTCTATATTATGAATTATAGTGTTGTTTTCTCATCCTAAACCACAGATGCAATCACTTCTTGGCAATATATTAATTTAAGCTAGTGATGCCATCCACTTAAATTTTGTAAGTTTCCAAGTAAGTTGTACTAGTTTGGAACTAAGTTTAGTACCTCCTATTTAAAAGGAGATCTATTGAACTCATACTGACTTTATTAAAACCTGCTTAATTATGTGGGTGCTTCAGATCCTAGTTTATATGGAGACCTTATTTGTCTAGTTCCCTGTGGAAACAAGGCTCCCGTGATCCTAGGTGTGTGGGCCATGTGTGTTCGCATTCGGAGCCAGTCAACATTTTTTTGCCTTGTCTAGTGCAGCCAACTGTGACCGATAAGGATCTCAAGGCAACAGAGTTGTCCAAGAAAATGTGATTTAAGTTTTATGAAGATAAACAGCTAATAGAGGGGAGTAATTTCGCTCGTGTCTTTGTGGGGAAAAAGTTGTAGTTTGTGTCTTACTAGAAAATAAAAGAGGAGGAGAAACTGTTATGAATGCCCAAGCTTCAGGAGATCCTTCCTTTGGTATTTGTAGCTTTGCAGGCAGCAAATGGAGTTAACGACAGGATGGAAAAATGCAAGTTCTGGTGTTCATAATGCACTGTTGTAGGAAATGAAGTCTTGGAACAGTATGCAGGATAGTTAAGGGTAAAAAAAAGTGTCCTGACTTGTTAAAATAATTTCGTTTCACTGATCATTTCTGATGATGTTTTTGTTTCTGTATTAGTAGATACTGTACTCTCATCTAGTCTCTGTTCATAGATAGGAATTTCCTCACAATCCCAGTAGTATTTTGAACTCCCTTTTGTTTTCTGTTTTTTTTAAATTTAGTTTTTTGAACAAAAGCAAATGAGGAGAAATAAAGCTTACCTGTGGACAAATGGTGTGGTCTGAACTGCCAGGGAAGATGGTATTAGCTTCCCTCAGTTTTCTTTTGTGAGTTTGGAAAAGGATGTAATGACCTGAGAGGATGAGCTAAGGATCCAGATTGAAATAGGCTCTTGGCATCTGGGAAGCTGCTTAAACTGTACTTTTTTTTTTTTTTTTCACAGTCTGTATTAGTACTTATGTTTGGGGGCTTAGTTAGTTTTAATTATTAATTTGAATTGCAATAATTTTTAGTTGAAAATGCTAAAACATTGGATTTCTAATATTTATTTTCTTTCTGTTTTAAGACAAGTACTGAAAAATCTGAACTGCTCTGGTATACGTAAACATCCTTGATCTGTTCCGAAGGTATTCTGATAACTTTGTCTTAGTGAAAGCTCAAGGGATTATCAGCTTTCTCATTGGAACTTTAGGTTAAGATACAGTCTTTCAGCATGCTTGCATAAATACGTCTAATATATGTCTAATTTCTTTATATGCTAAAGAAGTCTGTGTTGATCTGTTTTCTATATCTAATGCATTTGTTTCAACAGGTAGCATTACTGGGATTAGATGTTCTAGGTGCCTTTGTTGACAGACTATCAGGACGCTTTAAATCCTATATAGGAACTGGTAAGTGAAATATAACTTAATTTTTCTTAAGACCAAAAAACAAAGGACACTTTTTTTTCCACTCTTCTCCCTTAGCAGCTGAAGTGCAACATTGTTGAAGGTTTCTGAGCTAATTATATTGGTAGGCATCCTATTGCTGTTGTTGGAATTGAAATAATTTTATATTAACCTGTAAATATTAGTTTGTCATGCAATCACTGATTTCTAGGTGGTGGTTGGGATTTTTTCTGAAGGTTCCAGGAATATCTTTTCAGTAATTAGCTTCATACTGTATAGTTGCTTACCACTCCCCAAGACAGTCATCTAAAAATTCCATTGGAACAGAAGTGTTACCTTGCTTGTGCTAAAGATGGAAGGTTTTATTTGCAGACCACTTTAATTGGAGCCTTATGTCTGCTGAAGCCTGTGGTTTCAGAAGACTGTGTGGTCTACCCCTTGTTAAATAGGTGTACAGTAGCTTTTAGTAGTCTAAACTTTTTATGGAATGAAAAAAAAGTACTAACTGTTACTCTGGTGTGAAATGTTTACTAGACTGATTCTCAAATTAGTGGATCTACATGTGCCTGAGTATGAAACAGTTGTTCTAGGAAGTACGAGCTAACTGTACTGCTCAACTCATTTTGCTGCTGTCCTTGAAAACAGATAGTGATACTGGGACATTAACACTGCAGTTACATCACTGGCTATTTTTAACAGAAGTTTGTAGCTTAATGTCCTGTTTGAAAACTTGTGTGAATTATCTTGCATCTTGTTCCCACATGCCCAGCTATCTCAAATTCTCTGTCAAAATGTTAAGCTTCCTCTCCTTTACGTGTCTACTTTTGCATTTAAGAGTTAAGAAATCAGCAAAATTTGAAAGTTTAGGAATACAAAGCATCTTTCACGACAAGTTGCTAACTAAATTCATTGAAAGTGTATTTCAAGGATGCTGTAGAACTACTGCAGTAGCGCGCTACAGAAATTAAATCTGGTTTGTTGCAGAGGGTTTTTCTTTGGCTGGTTAGTTTTGTATTGAAGCAGCATAAGGAACTGGAGGCGTATTGTGCCATGTAGAATATTGATTTCTAAATAGTCTCTGTTTCTAGCTACAAACAGTGCTAGGCTTCAGAGTTTTACGCTGTTTTGATTTATATTTTAGTGGTGTGTAGAACCTAAAATTACAGCAACTTCATTAAAGGCTGGAAAGCTTTTTTAATTTCTTCTGTTTTTGATGGGGTTTTTAAAGTGTGAACTATTTGAGAAGAGTTTGAAAACACTAATTTTTTTTTTTGTTCCAGTATTTGAGTAGCTTGAGATCATGAGCAAAATCAAGATTTACATTTCAGTACTCAGTAGCAATTGTATTTAAAAAAAGTAAAGGACTGCTGGTTCTGGGTGACCATCAAACATGTAACATCAATGGACATCTGAAGCTGTGTGTTCCAGAAGTACTTTTTAGAAAAGCTGATTAGTAGTGCCTTCAACTGAAATTGGTCTTGTGAGCATCTCCAGCATCGAGCCCTGCAATATGCTGAGTGTGCAGGTCACTGTTGTGCATGGTCAGGTTTTATACAAGCTTAACAGACACTGAAATCTTTGTCTCAGTAAAGGCAGAAAACAATCTTTATCTTAGATAACTTTTCAGAAGAGTGATTTATAGTATGAAATCGCTGCAGTTGATAGCTATCTCTACAACAAGATTTGGATCATTTTCAGTTTTTGTCAGTGAAACAGTAATACAAAAACTTTATTTTAAATATCTGGGAGTGTGGATAGTCTGGGGTTTGTGAGAATAATTGAAAGCACACTGGTGAGAAGAAAACTGCTTCCTTCAAGGAAACAGCAGTTTCCCAAACTGTGTTGTGTTGACTCCGCAGATTTGGCTTCTAACGTAACATGAGAATGACTCCAGTAAGCCAGATCAAAGGCTCGTGTCTGAGAGTGATCCGTTTGCGGATGCCTGAGAAGAACGCAAGGACAGGACAGAGTTGCTGTGATAACCCCATCCCTAGCTGTCAGCAGTCTTGCAGTGTCGGGCCAGCTGAGGCAGATGGGATCTCCAGTGTCTCCCCTGTCACCCTGTTTTCTCACAGCTTTGTCTGGTTGGTTTTTGAACCCGCATAGGCTTCTGGCTTCTACGGTGTTCTGTAGTAAGCTTAATCACGCAAAACTCTTGTTTTGGACTGGCTGCCTGACTGATAACTTGGTGCTTGCCAGACCTTGTGTTAGAGAGGTGAGCCAGCTTTTCTTCTTGACTGCCGGTCTTAATTTTACAGACCTCTTTCATGCTTCTAAAGAAGCCCTGTAAGAGTCCCGGTCTGATTCTTTCTTGTATATACATGGTTCCACGGTTTTTATTGTAATTTTTTTCCCCTCTTAGTACCTTTTTGTTGTAGTGCTTTTGAGTTGAGGAAGCCATAACAGCACAGATGCAACATGTGTTTATGGGGGCGGAATTCTGTTTGGTTATGTTATGTCATCTGTTACTTTCATAATTATTGATAGTCTTTCTTTGTGCAAATATACAGTTCATCCAGGTGATACGAGGAGCAAATGAAGATCATGTATCAAGCCTGAAAATCTTGGGAAATTTGGAAGCAAAATGCTTCAACTAAGTTAACAAGGTTCTTACAGCCTTATAGGAAGTACTAGTAGTATTTGATACAGTGGGCATTTACTTTCTTCTATTTTGGTCAAATAAATGTGGAGATTTTATTTTTAGAAGACAAACATAATAGAACTTTTCCAGGCAATTTAATTATTACTTTGAAATAGTCAAAGTATATTTAACTTCTTGTTTATTGGAGTAAGTTATTGTAGGTACCTTCTCACTGAAGCTAAGGATTGCACTACTAATGTAGCAAAGGAAGAACGTATATGTAAAATACCTACCTACTCTGTTTTCTGCCTTTTTAAAAATACAGTGAATCCTAATTTCTAGGTAAAATTTAACTTCTGTAGCTGTATTTTGTCATAAAATATCTATAACCTTAAATGTATTTTTGTATTAATAAAGAGTACATTTTGGTGACCCAGAGATATTTTTGTTCGTGGTTCAGAACTCAGTACGTGATAGAATTGAATAGTGTATTACATTATAACACGGCAAAACATTTTTTTTACCTGTTTAATTTCCTGTTCAGTTATGATGGGGAGAGAATTATTTAAGTGCAGAGAAAAATAACTGATGTGATGAATATTCACCCCCATAAGCATTACAGGCTTTTTGCTAAGAAGTGAAAAACGCAAATGCTTTATTGTTATTTGCATCTTTACAGCCTACATATATGCTGTAAATTAGATTTGGGCAAAATCAATACAATAGTTGTTGGCCAGATGCTTTCCAGTACTCTGAAGAGCACGTTAGTGATCTTTGTATTGAGGTGCAGTGCCTGATAAGAGGCTCAATTCCGTTTCCTAGGCAACAATCTAATGTTGCAGCAACTCTTTTCCAAGGTGTTATCCTTTTATGATTAACCGCATTGCATGCTCTCTGCAGCTGACATTGGTGTTCTGGGAACTTGGAGACACAATTCTGGAATCTCTGTTTTAGTACTTCCAGTGAAGATGCTTGAAAATACTTTGCAAACAATAAATGTGTTAGTTCATGAAACTATGTGTCTGTATTCTGGGAAAAATAAAGCAGATTAGGGAGTGTTTGAGTGTTACATCTTCCAGTATTTAAAACAACTGCCTGTTCTGTGATTTAAAAGAGATTGCGTAAGAGTATATAATTACCCTCTCATGATCTCTTTTCTCAGGTGATGGCATTAATTATTAAAATATTATGTATCAGAAGTAAAAGTGAATATTAGAATTATGGGCAAATGTGATAGATTTTCTGGGAAAAGTCTGTACTCGTAGTTTCATTTTCTAAATGGAGTGAATGTTATTTTGCCCTCTTGTTACTGACAAAGGAATGGGAAACGAAGAAGTATAGTAAAGACATGTGGAATCTGTTTCAGTTTGAATGTGGTGTTATACCATGACATTTTTCTGCATATATTCAACTGTCTGTTAGTCTATGATACAGTTATATTGTCATTCACTTTCACGTACAACCTTACAAGATGTTGCAAAATATATTCTAGTCATCTGCAAATTAAAGGAAGGATACTTGGCACTTAAGACCAAACATAGGTACACATGTTATGTTGATATATGTACGTATACGTATGTCTGAATATAGATGCACATTTTACACGCACAAGCCCCATGTGTAAATGTATGTCTATGTGTAACAGTAGTTTCAAATTCTTACTGTGAAAAGAAACCAGTGGGCAAAAATAATTTTGGAAGATAATTGTAGTGCTGTGTACGAAGATGTGAAACCAATTTGAGGAGTTTAAATTCTTTCCCAGGTGGCTTCTAGAAGTAATAGAAGAACCTTTAAATTAGACTCTTCAGAATAATTCAAATGCTCTTTCAAATTTAGTGTCATAATTACGCATGCAAGTATGTTGCGTGATTTATTTTAAAGCAGTTGTAAGGACTTGCAATGTGCATTAATTTTTTGAGTGAATATGGATTAAAGGCATTTGGTACAAGAATTTGGAAATATTTATTTGAATAAGTCTGCATTTAGATAAGTGACACCCAAGTTCTTAATTTTTGCTTTTTCTCCTGCTTAATGACTGAGATTTTTGGATGGAAAAGGCTTAAATACCCAGTTTAATCAAGATATGACTCTTCAATAAGTAGTTTTAATGATGTATGGAGAAAGGCTTTCCTCAACACCATCCAAACTAAGAGCTGTTCTAGCATGAGCTACCGTGGATATATATAATGTAGAAAAATATTGGATCTTCAGGATTTAACCTGCAACTTTTTTCATCTTGGTGACAGATTCCCTAAAGCTTTAGGAAAAAAAAGTAGATAAAAATCTGTGCAGCCCTTAAACACTCTTTATCTCTTGGCTGGCTAGCACTGGAATTTATTATTAGTGGGAATGAATGTTACTTGAAGTGATCCATCCTTGAGTGACAGTCTGTGATTTAGAGTAGCATCTGCCTGCTGTCTGT